ATAATAGTCCAAGGTTTGGATGTCATTTGGATTCATGGATCAATCCACCAATCCATTTGCCACCTATAAGCCAATCCATTTTATCCAAATCCAATTGGTTTAGTTTATTCATTAATTGGATTTAGGATCGTTTGAAAATTATCGTTTAGTACCTATATTTTTTATATTATACAATTTGGTACCTTAAAGTGATTTTTTATACAAAGATAATATTGAAAAATAAAATTTTGGTAACTAACTTTTTTATGATGACATTTTAGTACCTAAACTTTTCAATATTTACATATGGATCCAATGTTTAGATGTCACTTGGATCCATGATCAAATCCACCAACCCATATATCCAATCCATTTGCAACCTCTATTCTCGATGCAATCCTTGGCACGAATATCGTAACATAGCCAACTACGGATGAGAAGGTACAGAGTTGGGCCGCAACGTCTCTGTGACGCCAAACTTCACGTAGAAGTTAACGAGGACCGTGATTTCTGTAGCCGTTGAAGAGAGTTCATGGGGAAAGGGGGCCCATCTTCCTTCCGATGCCAATCACCAAAATTGGTGATAGTTATAGGGCTGATGGCGGCAAAACTATTTTAAAAACATTGAAATTTAAAAAGGAATATTATCAAAATTCTGTTAAAGTATTTAATATTAAGTACCAGTATGTAATTAGCCATAATTGTCTATTTGTAATGAGGACTAGGTTTTCCCTATATAGAGGCCGACCAAACCCTATTGTACGATTGAGCAGTATAGTGAAGTTTTGAAGAGCACAACCTCTTCCATGGATTAGTCATGTTCATCAGGGATACCATGTTATATCTTTGGTGTTCTTTATTTTCAGCTCAATTATTTACTTGGTATCTGATAACGATGTAACTGCACGTATTTGCACCCCTAGTTCTTATCCGTTTGACGGGCATAGTCGTGTATTTTTTGGCCTATTTTATGCCGGGATGTGCTACTTTGTCATATTTCAGGTCCCAGGCGTCGATGGAAAGGCTAAGCACGAGTTTCGGGGCATTCGGAAGTCATTCGGTCGAGCTGGAGCCAAAACACGGGCACACCTAAATCAGAACACGGCCGTGTTCCTAGACCGTGCTTTTACTGCCAAGACTTGATCTGAGTTTGGCAAACACTAGCTCAAAACACGGGCAGGGCTGAGACAGAACACGGCCGTGTCCACCAAAAGCACGGTCGTTTCCACCAAAAGCACGGCCGTGTTTCTCCCAACAGGCTGGCCAGGTAATTAACCCTTGGCAAAGCACGGGCGGGCTGGAGCAAAGCACGGCCGTGCCCTCGACCGTGTTTTGCCCAGTGATGCCCTTTTAAGCAGATTTCCGCCAAAACAGAGGGGGATTCGAGTTTTAGAGAGACAGAGCGATTCCTAGAGAGAGAAAGCGACGAACAAGGGTTCCCAAGTGCCCTAGCTTGATCTTCATCACCATTGGAGCTTGGCTTGAGCTTGGAGAAGTGCCGATCAACGTCCAGGAGCAGAAATCCATCCTTCACAGTATGATTTCCGCGTCTGATTCTGCTTTTGCTTCTTTCTCCATGGAGTAGTTCTCCCATTCATCCGGGTATGGAGAACCCTAGATTTGTATGTTAGGTTTGATTGTATGAACCCAAGTACTGATTCTATGATTTGATTATATTCAATTGAGGTTTGAATGATTGAATGGCATGAATCCTGATCAAATTCCTGTTGTTTCTGCTTTAACCTAGAATGAGAATATCTGCCTAGGTTGATAGAGCATCCTTGATTGAAGGTAGGGAGTTGGTGACTTTAGTCAATGAGCCAACTCACTATTCTGTACCGAATTCACTTCGGTAGTGGAGGTTTTATTCATTAGGGCCTCAATCTGTTTACTCCGGTGGAGGTTAGTCACCCGCTAGAGACTCAGATTGAGAGGGTCTGGAGACCTTTAGTCGAGACTTCAGACTGCTTAAGAACCTTCCGCAATATAACTATCATAGAAATTGAACTTGGTAATTGCAATCCGGCTTAACTGTAGTCTAGGGGGAACCATATCCGGGTGACCTCTCTTAACCTGAAAACAACCGTTTAGTTGCTTTGCTTGTTTGTTAGTTTAGACTTGCATTAAAGTTTCATTGCTAGATAACAAGAATTCACCAAGTAGTCATCAAATCTAGGACCCGGGTTGACATTAAAACCCAAACCCGCTATACTACGCTTTAGGGAGTGGTTACACTTGGCCAATTCCTAGGGTGACAGTAGAAGTGAGCCTCTGCTCTAAAGGTTAGTGTCTTCTTACTGGTGATCAGCTATTTCAACATTTGTTCCTTCCTCTGCTCATTTTCTTTTGTGTTCGATCGGGGTTTGGAGATTGGTTGCTGCTTGGGTATTGCCAGTTGTGTTTTTTTTTTTTGCCAGTTGTGGATTGTTTGTTTCGTGCGTGTCTCTTGTCGCGCGCTTATGCTAGCTTGGTCTTTCTCGTTGGTGGCTGTCTTGGTTTTTTGGGTGGCTAGGTTTCTATGCATTTCTCGAAGATGGATGCGGTTACTATCAAGTTCGATGGCCATAATTATTCGATATGGGAATTTCAATTTCGCAAATTTGTTGTAGGTAAGCGGCATCTTCCGGTTTTGATAGGTGAAGTTAAGGCACCGGCGACGAATGCAGATGCGACCGTGATTGCTAATTGGCATGCCTCCAATGCTCAGCTCATCACATGGCTTTTGGCTGCTGTGGATATCCCGACGGGCCTTAGTATTCGTAGGTTCAGTATAGCGGCTGAGATGTGGGTCATATTTCTGCCACTTATGCTCAAAATACGACTTCTCATCAGTTTGAGTTGGAAGGAGAGATTTCTCATCTTGCACAGGGGGATCGTGATGTTCGTGGTTATTATTAGGCATGTCTCAACTTGTGAACTGAATATGATTTATTGAAGGTTTCTCTTGTTCCTGATGCGGCTGCCGTGGCAGTTCATACCGAGCGTGCTCGTACACGTGCTCTTCAGTTCCTTGTTAAGCTTCGGCCAGAGTTTGAAACGATTCGGGCATCATTGATCCATCATAATACTAATAGCATTGATGTCGTTGTTTCCGAGCTCATGCGGGGAGAGACATGTCTCCAGATTCAGTCCCAAATTGACCATTTCCATCCTCAATTAGACTCCGCATTTCCGGTTGCGTGCCCAGCAGCTGCTTCTCGTCCAGCGAGTGCTTCTTCGGTGACTGCCGTGAGTCGGGGCATGTTCAGACCTACTGCAAGAAGAAATTTTTCGCATTTATTACAAACATTCGGGGTCATATTGTGTCTGAGTGCCCGACGCTGAGTAAACAAGTAGTGATGGCAATGGGGCGGGGCGGGGCGGGTACCTCAATTCCCATGCCCCGCCCCACGCTACTACGGGTCGGGGCGGGGCGGGTCGACTCACTCTTACATGTTGTTAAAAAAAATACAAGTAAATTTTACTTTTTACAATAAAACGTAGGGAAAAAACACTTTAAGAATGAAAAATATTGATAATAGAATGGATAATTGAGCCTAAAACGGGGCGGGGCAGGGCGGATCGGAAGTAGATACCCATGCCCCGCCCCTCGCTACTGCGGGTCGGGTAATACGCGCCCCATCGCGGGTCAGGTCGGGTAATACTCGTTGGGCGGGTTGAAATTGCCATCACTATAAACAAGGGAAGCTAAGGCATGTTCCTTCCTTTGGCTCTACTTCTCGTGGTGTATCCTATCCTGTTACAGCCGAGAGCCCCGCTAATGTGGTTGCTTCGCCAACCCCGACTCCTTCCCTCACTCCTAACCACCTTCGCCAGATGGTTCAAGATGCCCTGCACGAAGCTCTCTCTTGGGCATTTGCCACCGGTCTTCCTGCGGGTAAGCCTCTTCGTTGGATGTTGGATTCTGCATCATTTAATCACATGACCCATCATCATTCAGCCTTTGAGACATTACATCCTGTCCCACCTATGATACTTCAAGTGGCTAATGGGGGTACGATTCCCGTTCAGGGCAGGGGTCTTGCTAGTAATGGCTCGGTTTCTCTCCCCGATACCTTATTCGTTCCTCACTTGGTCCCCAATCTCGTATCTGTTGGACAATTGATGGAGCATGGTTGTAATATCTTGTTTGATTCTGCTGGGTGTGCTGTGCAGGATCGAATAACGGGGGAGGGTGCTCGGGAAGGGAAGTAAGATGGGACGTTCGTTTGTGCTTGATGCTTTGTGCGGACGTGAGGCGACGAATTCATGCATGGGATGGTGGCGGAAGTAGTGCATTGGAGCATCAAGACAAACATGGTTTTGGGAATGGGTGTGTTGTGCGAACCTTGAGTGGGGATTTTGGGTCTGTTGTTCCTGCTTTTAGTTTGAATATTTCTGTTGAATAATTATGGGATTTATGGCACAATCGATTGGGTCATCCTCATGTCGGGAGACTAAAGACTGTTTAGACACGATTTATTACCAGATAAGCTGGATATATTGAAATTTGATGGTATTTCGGATTGTGTGAGCTATTTAGAGGCTAAGGCCTCGCAATCTTTCTTTTCGGCTAGTGATACAGTTTATGATGAGTCGTTTGATTTAGTTCATTCGGATCTTTGGTGGCCGTCTCCGGTCACTTCACGTTTGGGATATAGGTACTTCTCTCTCTTTATTGATCATAGCACCCTGGTACACTTGGGTTTATTTTCTAAAACAGAAGTCCGAGTTGACTACTTTGGCCAAGGAATTTGTCCAAATTATCAGGTCCTATACTCGAAGACACTTGACTATTCTTTTCTTCGGAAATTTGGGTGTACATGTTTTGTCTTACTGTAGAAGAAGGAGCGACATAAATTAGCTCCTAAGGTGGCTCGCTGTGTTTTTATGGGATACAGTGAGAATCACAAAGGATATATGTGCTACGATCCCGTGGCTCGATGTATGAGAATTGCTTTTCATGTTCAATTTTTGGAGACACATATGCACTATCATTCCTCTTCAGCGGATACTAGCAGTGCTGAAACATTGGAGTTTTTTCAAAACTGGCCAGTATTTGACACACCACCCACGGTTCCTTTGCAGAAGCAACATGAGTCCAGCTCTTCTGACTCAAGCATGGACAGTGGGCCATCTTCTCCTACGATTTTGGGCTCAACCAACATGACTGCTAGCTCGTCCTCACCATCAGCGACGACCAGCTCGTCTGCGTCTCCTAGCTCATCTTTGAGCTCCTCTTCCGGGTCATCCATGTCATCTCGTGGATTGTCTTTGGCGCTTTATCAGCCACCTTCACCAATCCATCTGGTTGATCCTTTAAGAAGATCTAATCGATCCAATTTAGGCAAACCCCCGGTTCGCTTAAGTGACTTCATTGGGTTCTCTGTAGAACCAGTCATTGTTCCTTTCTCCTATGCGCAGGTCGTGAGGGATCCACGTTGGAATTTAGCTATGTGCGTTGAGATGGACGCCTTAGAGGAGAATCATACATGGGACCTTGTGTCGCGGCTTGATGGAATGTCCGTGATTCGGTGCGTTGGGTCTATACTATCAAATGCTTTTGGATGGTATGATCGATAAGTTCAAAGCTCGTCTGGTTGAACAAGGTTTCAAACAGAAGTATGGTATTGACTACGAGGATACATTTTCTCCTGTAGTCAAAATGTAGACTGTTCGTAGTGTCTTTGTTGTTTCCGCTATGCAGAATTGGCCCCTCTTTCAGCTAGATGTGAAGAATACTTTTCTTTAAGGGGATATGAAGGAGACGATATATATGGAACGAACTCTGGGATATGAAAAAGGCGATTCCAGTATTTTTGTAAGTTAGTTCACTCCTTGTACGGTTTAAAACAAGCGCCTCGTGTCCTAGTGATGTTGGGTTCTCTCAAAGTACGAATGATCCGACTCTTTTCACGCGTCCTACTATTGATGGTATTGTGTTTCTTCTAGTTTATGTCGATGATATGATTATTACGGGTAGTGATGCTGCAGGTATTCGTGAGATTACTGCAGTTCTCCGGAATGCATTTAACTTGAAGGAGATGGGCGAAGTTTCTTACTTCTTAGGGCTTGAGGTTCACATATCACCGCAATGTTTGTTCGTGTCTCAACGAAAGTATATGATTGATCTCTTGGAGTCATCGGGGTTAGCATAGTGTGTTCCTTGTTCCACCCCGATGGAACAAAATCTTAAGTAGAGCCATGAACAAGGGGAAGTGAGGAGTGATCAGTCGGTCTACATGAGCTTGGTCGGTAATATCATTTATTTGACTCATACTCGACCTGATATCTCTTATGCAGTTCAAGTTGTGAGTCAGTTCATGGGAGTAGCTACCAACATTCATTTGGCGGTTGTTTATAGACTGTTGGGGTATCTGAAGCAGACTAAAGATTGGGATGTCTTTCCTGTCAAGGGTGAGCCGACTATAGAAGCTTTTGCAGATGCAGATTATGCTGGTTGTGTGGATACTAGAAGATCGACTTCAGGTTGGTGTATTCATTTTGGCGATTCATTTGTGTCATGCAGATGTCGAAATCAGGATAAAGTCTCAAAATTGTCCACTGAAGCCAAGTATAGGTCCATGTCCGAGGTGAGCTCTGAGCTGGTATGGTTACATCGTTTGCTGGAAGAATTGGGGGTTACTTGTCGAGTTCAAATGCGCCTCTATGGGGATAACACAAGGGGAATATAGATTGCGGGTATTACATGACAAAACTAAACATATTGAAGTTCATGTGCATCATATTAGAAAATTAGTGGCAGAATGTTGATACAGGTTGGGTATCTTTCGACGGAAGACCAGATAGCCGATCTCTTGAAGAAGGCATGAGCTTCCAGTCGACACTGTTACTTATCAAGTTATCATCCAAATTGATGTTCAAACTGCACATCAATTTGAGTGAGGGTGTTAAAGTATTTAATATAAGGTACCAGGATGTATTTAGCCATAATTGTCTATTTGTAATGAGGACTAGGTTTTCCATATATAGAGGTCGGCCAAACCCTATTGTATGATTAAGCAATATAGTGAAGTTTTAAAGAGCACAACCTCTTTCGTGGATTAGTCCTGTTTATCAGGGATACCACGTTAAATCTCCGGTGTTCTTTTTTTCTGCTCAATTATTTACAAGTTCAACAACGGAGGATGGCTACAAGAGAAACAGCACCATCGCTGGAGGTGCTTTGGAGCTCGGTTATATCGCTGAATCTCCAGCTTCGACGAATGTTTTGATCAATACAAAGTTGAAGACCGCCACTGTGAGTTCCTTCCCCAAGGTTGCCAAAGCATAGTCCACTTATCCAGAGGATCGCGCGAGGAAGTTGGTGGGATCAACCATGAGTAAACATGAGTGGTGACACTTAATTTATAGTATTTATCACCATCATATTTGATACATTTTAACCTTCTATCTTTAAAATATGCGGAAACAAAAGGAGACGGAGATCTTACGCGGTTTCCCCAAAGATTGGGACTAGTGCACGGAGAGCTAGCGCTCTCAGCTTAGGGTTTCACTAGTGGCGTCAATGGAGGGCCGAATGTCTTGTTGTGCTACATAAGGAGGCTACCGCAACAACTAAATATAATGTACGCCTAATCAACTAGGTATATAGGAAAATAACCAAAAAATGTACACCAAAAACAAACTATGTACAAATAAGTCCAATACGCCCCCTCTAGCTCAAGCATGGAGATCTCGAATGTCAAGCTTGGACAACAGAGTATGGAACTGATCCGCGACTAGTGCTTTGGTGAAAATATCAGCAAGCTGCTGAGAGGTAGCAATCTTCTAAGGAAAAATCTCGCCAAATTTTACACGCTCACGCACAAAATAGCAATCCATCTCAATGTGCTTAGTGCCCTCGTGAAAAATAGGGTTAGCCGAAATATGGAGGGCTGCCTAGTTATCATAGTAAAAAGGTGTGGGAGCTGACAAAGGTACTTGTAACTTGCGAAGCAAAAATCAAAGCCAAAGGACTTCACTGGTGGTAGAGGCCATAGCACAATATTTTGCTTCTGCAGAGTAACGAGACACGACTAGTTGCTTCTTGGCACGCCATGAAACATAAGGGAACGAGCAGTATCCAATAAATGCATGTGCTTGCGTTAGACAACCCCATTATGTTGAGGAGTATCGGTGCAAGTCGTTTGAAAAACAATGCCATGCTCCTCGTAATAATCACAAAGAGTCGTGGTCTGAAATTCCAGGCCATTGTCAGCCTGAATACGATGAACCTTCTTCCCATACTGAGTACTCACCATTGCAAAGAATAATTGAAGATGCCGCTCGACGCAGATTTAAATCTCATCAGATATACCCATGCACCGCGACTATAGTCATCAACATGGGTTAAGAAATAACTCGACCCATCTATGGCCTTCGTACTATACATCCCCCATTTATTAATGTGAATAAGATCAAAACATCCACTAGTCTTGATGGAGCTCAAAGAAAAAGGATGATGTGTCTGTTTGGCACGAAAACAAGGTTCACAAAGAAAAGAACTGCGAGAAACTATACTACAACCAACAATATCCTTCAAATAAAATAAACTTGACCAGAGAGGGGTGACCAAGACGAAAGTGCCACAGCTCTCGAGATAACGCTTGGCGGTTAAATTTACAGGCTCGAGTAGGAAGAACATGATCATGTCTAGAGACTTCTCCAAACCGTTGTAGGTAGTACAGACCGTCACGAAGCTTACCCAACCCAATCAACATCTTGGAAAGTGAATCATGGATCATACACATATCATGCAAGAAGGTTACAGCAACATCAAGATATCGAGTCAAGCGACTAATGGAAAATAAGTTGCATTTGAAGTCTGGAATGTGTAAAACTCATTAGAGACTAAGCAAGTCTGAGAGCTTGACCGTTCCCATGCCTTTAACCGCAATTCCAGTCCCATCCAAAATTCGAACATGAGAATGGTCCATAGTATCATCCAACAAACTGAACCACTTAGAATCCCGCACTATATGTTTGTTACATCCCTAAACTAATAATCAGTCATTAAGATCATCAGCATTACCCCCCATATGAGTCGTGGTTCTGAAGGAGCCTCAGAAGGGGACAAAAGTAGTTGTTGGAGCTTGGAAAATTGCGGTGCAGCCAGCCAAGGAAATGGACTGGGCTAAGAGTCGACGTGATCTGCCTTGGGTCGCCAAACGGCAACAACCATGCGATCTTCAGCAAGCTTATGCTTCGGATGACCCAGCGAAAATCCAATGAGCTTGTAACATGTCTCTTTCAAGTGTCCAAGATGATTGTAGTTCAAACAGCGAGGACGGTCTTGATCATCATGTGCACTCTTATCGGCTTGAGCTTGAAAGACTGCCATCTCGATAGGAGGGCGACGCGCGCTAGTCAGCTGATAATGTTGTTCCTCCGTCATTATCATCTTGTAAGCATCCGTGAGAGATGGTATAGGTTTTGTGCTTAGTATCTGCGATCACACAACTGAATAAGCTTCATCTAAGCCCATAAAAAATTCAAACAGTTGTGTAGTGTCCTGTTTGGCATGATGCTTCTGTGCCAAATCACAGCTACACCCACCACAGGTGCATCCATTTCAAGTACAATGAACAACTCCTTCAATTGCGTTCATCTCGTCCCATAATGATCGGCAATGTGTGTAAAATGTTGAGCGGAACCTTTACTGAAACGTCGTTGTTGGTCTTCCCATATTGCGCGGGTAGTGGTGATAGTACGCACACTATTGCGTACTTCCTTTGTCATCGCATTCTTCAGCCATCCCTTCACAGTGGCATCACAACGATCCCAAGCTGCTTGGCACTCACCAGGCCCCGCCTGAGATTGCGGAAGGGAACCGTCAACAAATACTATCTCATCCTAAGCCAAGTTTAACCTAGGACGGCATTGCCGTATAGTGGTAATCAAGGTCGTATACTACTCGGGTCCTGGTATGCTAGCCTATTTCCCACTTTGTTGTTAATTAGGTAATCGATTTTTGAGGTTTTGAGTGGAGGATATGAGGAAACACTAGTCTAGAGGTTGATCAAAGCTAAAACCAGGTACTTCGGAGAACTAATCCTCCCCTAGCTTCAGGCTACTATGCATGTTTCGATACTTATGGTTATCGAATATGTGAGTGAGCTCTTTTCCGTGGGACTTCATCATTATCCACACGTCTCCAAGTATGTGTAACACCCTAACCCGTCCGGGTACTACTTTTACTAAAATTCCCTTCGCAAATAAAATACTCAAATCTTAAATTGCAGCGGGAAAAATTTTCAGAAATGAAATACTGAAAACACACTTGAAGTTCAAAGCAAAGCCCTAACACGTGGGCAAATTAAACTCAAACTTTAAAATCTCAATCTGATCTCCAGTCTATACTCATAATCATAAAATGTAAATAACTAATAATCTCTAAAGTTGTTGCTACTGAAAACCTTGACTAAGCATCCTCTGTGACGCTTATACTGCTCTCCTCTAGCTGGCTGCCCTCGAACTCGCTGCTCACTAACTGCTCCTTTAGCTCCAACTATCGATCTAGTTCTCGCTTATTCCTTTACGAAAGTCCTGGTGAGTGAGATGGGGTCAGTCTACACCCTTACGTTTTAATAATTCTAATACTTGAGTATTTTACTTAAACACTTAACTTTGACTAGTGGAAGTTGTTTGTACTTCCAATCTTAAAATCTTAACTCTTTAACTTTGAGGGAGTTGAAGTTACTCTCCTCTCTTAAAACTCAAATCTTGACTTAAATACTTGACTGACATGGGGATCCCTCACTAGCTAGTCCGGTTGCCAACTCATACGTATGAGAAGCCATCCAGGCTTTCCTTAAACTTAGTTAGGGGAGTCGTAACGATTCATCCCCCTAACATCTTAAACTTATCGTGGTGGCTCTTCACCACGATTCTAAAGAGCATAACTACTGCTCATCTTAAAAGTCTCAAGAGAATAACTGCTGCTCTATCTCAAAATGTCTCAAAAGGCAACGGACTGGCGCTAGTGACTAAAAACACTTAAAACGACTTCACCTTCTTGAAGGTGAGTTACTTCTTAAAAAGAACTTGTTTCTTTAACTTAAACTTACTTGTAATTAAAGCACACAACAACATAAAACTGGAAGCATAACTCACATAAATCATATGACATCATATAAGCATACAAAGGCAAGTACGACACATAGCAGTCAAATCTCAAAAACTTAAATACCATAAGGCGTAGAATTTGCCCCCTTTACACTCACCGTACAAGCTCCTCAAAACTTTACGGTTGCTGAACTTGACATCCTTAATTCCCGTGATCCTCTGTTCGTAATTCCCGCTTGGTCGCTAGCTCCATTTCCCTCTCACCATTTTTGTGATCAGCAAGCTACAGAGGAATGCTATTCATTTGAGAGTTTTGTATTCTAATTCGTGAGCGAGTTCGGATTCACAGATTCCGCTTACATCAAAATAGTAACATTTAAGAATCAACTAGACAAACACATTCATACATTCATTCACATTAAAATATCCATACACACATACATACATACATACATACATACATACATACATACATACATACATACATACATACATAATAAACCCTTAAACTAGGGTTTGGGGTTTAGAACCCCTAGTACCTTAGAGGACGACTCCAGAAAGGAGGGAAGAAGATACATGTTAGAAATATAAGAAGACTTGGGATAGAAGATGCCTTCTTGCTCCTAGCTCCTCCTTCTTCTCCTTCTCTTCTCCTTCCTTCATCTTCTCTCTTTTCTCTCTCTCTAGAACCAGATATTTCACCCAAAATTAACTTCCTTGAAAATGGGGAAGGGGTCTTCTATTTATAGGCATTTTGGATTCGGGGAAGTTCACGGCCTGAGGCAGGGAGATCGCGGGCGTGATCTTTGGTCACTTGGTCATGATCTCAAAACTTTGTCGTCGAGGCCTTAAGGAAGGGGGAGATCGCGGCCTTACTTCGCGGTCGCGATCCTTGAATCGCGGTCGTGATATTCATCGCGGGCATTTTTCACGTTGTCCGTGATTCGACTTCTGCTCATCCATGGCTTCTTCCTCGCAAAGTTCACGCTCTCCGGCTCCAAGATCGCGGTCGCGATCTTTGGCTTGTGGTCTGAAATCTTTAGCGAGACTTCATAACTGAGTTCCCGGCCGTTATCTTTGGCTTCTAGGACACGATCTTAAATCCTTGCCCCTTTTCTACACTTGTGACCTTGTTTTGTACCTAATTTGCATATATTGACTAATACACCCTATAATCACAGAAAAAATCAAATAGGAATGAAATAGGGATGTACTTGAAATTTTTTAAGTGTTTAAGCTCAAGAATTGATACAAACATACCCTAATATGGAGGGTAAATAACACCGATTTTGGTGTTATCAAACTCCCCCACACTTGGGTGTTTGCTTGTCCCCAATCAAACCTAATGCAATATGATAGATGAATCAATGAGGCATGCATGCTAGTTCTTCATTTCATAGATTAGAGTATACGGGAATGAATGATCTCTACTACCTTCATACTGTGCAAGCACAAACTCTCGTGTGAGGACCATATCTACTACCTTATGCCGATCATTCATGGTGTGCTCCGGGGGATTCTCCAACAACAAACAACTAATAGAACCATAAGCAATGCTTTTATTCTTTCTTTTGATGTAGGAGTTGTCATTTTTTGGTCTCCTTTTTATCCATTCATGCACATTGCACCGAACTCTTTGCAATTTCTTTCATTGCATAATAGCATCTCTCCCTCATGACCAAGAGTGGATGAATGATAGCCTTCCCTTTCAAGGTCACATGTGGGAAAGTTGATGGTCGGATTCGTCTTAGCCCGTGCACCACTTCCCATCCTGCACTCCACATTGGGTTGCCACACATGTTGGGTACAAACGAGAGCTATGAGGTATCATGAATCGCTAAAAGTTACCTTTGATCCTTAGCATACGAGTCCGTGAGGAAGAGAGGTGTTTGGGGGATGGTAGTAGTAAGAGATGAGGGAGACAAAATAGAGCAATCCAAACCCCAAACACATCTTCGACAGGCTCTCCGAGCCCATAGAACAACCCTTTGACGGTTGATCTCAATTGTTTGCCCGGTTTCCACTCACGTGAGAACCTCTTTTCTATTTTAAGAACAAATTATCAAAGTTCCTAGTTCACACAAAGGAGAGAATCCCGCACACAATGCCTTCCTAAGATAGCAAACATTATCGACTCACACTAGAGGAAGAAAGTAGTAAAATCCCTCACGTACCGATACTAAAACCATGCAACTATCGCCTAAGATGCACAACACATCAATCAATCTATTCAAATCAAAGCACATCGAGTAGGTAATTGCAAAGACAAGGTGTTTTGGAACCCTCAAATTTGAAAATTTTTGGGTGTACATTCAAGGTTCCAAAAACACTAATGTTTCATCATTCATCGCCACAACAAAGGAATGATCACTAGCATACACTCCCGTACACATTCATCATTGTCTTACATTCACAAACAAGGGAGGATACTAGCAATAAATGGTTGCACCAATCATGATAAACATTCAAACATATACAAACATCCAAAACTCCCACACACTTAAGCAACACATCGTCCTCAATGTGGGAGTTCACAAAGAAAAGATCGTGAATGTTACCATAGGTTGGGTTGTGGGTTGGTGAAGGTTCACAAGTGTAGTCTTTGTCTTCCTGTTGGTTTTCACAACGATAAAGCGCATAAGAGAGAAAGAAAGACGAATAGGAGTTATAGGTAAGATATATAGATATACATAATAAGTACTACTACTACTATTAGAGATAGATTATTTAAGGTACGAAAAGTAAAAGGAAAATAAATCGATAATTAAACATTGTTTTAATTGAAATAAAGAAAAGCAAAGAAAAAGAAAAGATAGAACTCATCCCTCCTCGGAGGGTCCTTCTTCTTCATCGTGGGAACGTGTGGAAGGGGAGGAGCGGTTGGATGTGGCAAGTACATCTTCGATCAGAATGTTCATCTTCTCCATGAGTGTGGATGCACGCCATGATGTGAAGCCGTGCTTCCTTTTCCCTTCGTTGGTTGTGAAGGATAGCCGCTATTATAGCCTCAATCCTATAATCTCTTGCATTGTTGCTCGGTGGGTGAACCGGTGGAAAGTGGGAATACGCACCTCTCCTCCTTCATACACGCTCTCCTCATGTTCCTCCTCGGTTGTCAATCCTCTTCAGCCCCTTGCCCTCCTGGCCTCCGGAATACGGAATACGGAATACGATTCCTACCATGTCCAATGTGTTGATGGCTGGAAATGGGAATCCCCAAACACCCCAAATGCCATCATTGTTCATGTGTAGCACCTTAAGCTTCTACTTCACGACATCGAAGGATATAGGAAAGGTTCTACGATCCAACCGAAATAGAACAACTCTGAAGTCAACTTGGAAATACTTGGCAAGTCGGGTGACCTACACTCCTCCGTGAAGTGAGGCAAGTCTGTGATCCATCTCATAAGGCTTGAAGATAGACAAGATCGATAAACCGAGATGAAGAGACTGTGGGAAGCGCATGCTATGAAACAAGGTGATGTCTCGGGTGATCAAGTTGCCCTTGCTCTGGTTCTTTCCTCCCACGGACCTAGCAATCGCGTGGTGGATGAGCCGCCACTCCGGCTTTATCTCACTGGCTTTTGATAGTCTCACGTCCCATTGTCGACTCTCTGGCTTCTTGACTTTAGACTCATAGAAGACCTTGAAACAAGGGAAGTCGGATTCCCTTGTCAAGGTGGAGAAATCATTAGGTGAGTCAACGAAACCCGTCAGGTAGATGTCCAAAGCTCTTGTGAACTCCTGGATCGACATGTGATGATATTCTTCTACAAGTTGAAATTGAATGTTGTCCTCAAGGTCGGTAGCACACCTCATGTATCGAATAGTGGGAGTGTTAATGAACTCCAGAACAAGTACCCGGTATATGTGTTCTTGAATAGAGAGCAACTTGAGCCATTCCATCTTCTAGACCGTAGAACGGATTGCATCTTCCATTCTGAGCTGGGCGAAAAAAATCCAATCGAGACAAGTATTTTCCCCTAAAGGTAGCCCTTGAAGCCATAGGAGTTTGCTCTTGAATTTCTTGGGTATATGCTCCAAGATGTAATGAGTAATATGCTCTATGCCGCCTTCTACAAATTGAGGAACTACCCTTGCCAGATGTTGAAGATGTGATGGTAGATGAGTTTCTTCTACAACCACTTCCTTTGGTTTGGACTTTCTTGTTTTCTTCTTATGACCTTGGCGAGGACGAGAGGTGCGAGAGGATGAACTCTCACCGTGATCCATGCCTTTAGTCTTATATATTATCCTTTAAAAACTAGTGGTACACATATGCATAAACCATCAATGCAAACATCAATAGGGTAGATTGCAATGAGCTATCACAAAATTTCTAAATTTCCCCCACACTTCAGTGTGACTAAGAACTTTGCATAAGAGGGGAATTGGATAGAGAAATAGCTCCAAAATACTAATAAGGATATCCCCAAATTGATGAAGAAACAATCAATGATCAAAACCCCGTGCAATGTAATTGATGCTTAATCCAAATTATCACAAATAATAAAATCTATGTGGTTGGGGACTTTTCACAAACACTTGGTGGGTGGTAGTTCAAGATGACATAAATGCATGGGCATAACCCACCAGGGTATCAAAACTGACACAAGGAGTTCATTAAAGACAAGGAGAACAATCTCATGCCACAAGAATGTCATTCAAAGTAGAAAATGGCCATTAAAGATTCTAAGCAATCAACACACGTTGGGCAAGATAAGGTAACTAAATGAAAATATCATGGAAAAGTGTACCTTATCTTGCTAGGGGGCATGTTGGGAATCCAAAATCAATAATTAATCCTTCTCAAAAGTTGTTGGAAGATGAGATTATAGAAGGTGGGTTCAAAAAGTCAAAAGAGTTGGAGAGTAATGGTAAATGGATCAAGAAAATGGTGAAAAAGTGAATGCACTTAGATATAAAGATGATGCCATCGTTTAAATAGGGACAGACAAGATATTGGTCTGGGCACCCTTAATCGCGGCCACGATCTTTGCCCTGATCAGGACAACTCATTTTCTTCACTTCTCTTAGTTCAAGCATTCATCCAAGCATTCAATCAAGCATCCAAAAGAAAGGCTAAGTCTTATCAATTAATCTCAATGCATCTCTAATGTACTAACTAAGCTATTATTCAATTAAAAAGAAAATAAAAGGGAAAAGATGCGCAAACCGAGTTGTTGGGTTGCCTCCCAACAAGCGCGTCTTTAAAAGTCTTTTCGACGGACTTGACTCCTTAAGATTAGTTGGAGATATCTCCAATCTTCACCAATGACCCTTTTGTTGGGTGATCAAGCGCGAGACCTACTTTTTCAATTGAACCTGAAACCCTAAATTTCTTTCTTCGTAACCAAATTGGGAATACGAGGTGAGGTGAAGAACAGACCACAAAATGATAAAAATCAAAGAATCAATTTGATCAGATTAGGGCAATATGAATGGGCCGAGATAACTAGGTCTTCGAGTGGGCTCAAGTAATGACTAAGCCCACTAAAACTTATCCTGGATCATTCTCAGACTCTTTTCGAATTAGAGCTAGAAGCACTGCCTCGTCGTCTTTGCTGGGTTCCCCTGCTTCTCGATAGCACCTGAAAAACAAAGCAACACTATCAGAAACGACTCTTAAGCAAAAACGCAACTATAAAGGAAGATGAACACACAAGGTGTTTACGTGGTATCCGGTACTATTTGACTTAGTACCGACTAATCCATTCCACAGTCGAAGGGTCTCAATCGAGTCCTTCGACGTTTCACTACGAACTTGTAGTATAATCTCAATTACAATCAATCTGCAAGCAACTCCTCGTTGCTGATCAGACCCAAATCGGATTCGCTCCCCGCAAACCCTTCTCCCAGAATATAACCTATCCTAGGAACAGTTTCCCCAAATGACAATGACTTCTCTCTTTTCTCTATCTTAGAACGATGAAACTCTTTCTTGTGGTGATCTAGACAGAGTGGAATGGAAAAGTGCTTCTCTTCTTGTGAGACTGTATTATTATATCTATCTACTGTCGACCGTTGCTCCTTGATCCTCTTTTATCTGGGTGATTTTCCTGCTTAATTTGTAGCGAGCTTTCCTTCTCTAGCATCAATCAACCACAGATGGATGCTTTCCTTTTTGGAAGCGCACTGTATTTGCCAGCGCCGCATGACGTTGACGAGCTTCCACAACATGCTGTCCCTAAGCTAGTCAATGACTCCTGCTGCTGCACTGGCTTTCCCTGCATACACTTGACAAACAATTGGTGCAGTCTGTTCTCATACAAAAAGGCACCAATGGGAAGCTTTTATTTTATTTCATTTGATGCGATGCGATTAACACACATGACTCAATTGATCAAACACAACTAACACGACATAACCAACAGACTGACACTACACACTTAACTAACCAAGACACACTTATCTAACCAAGTCTGCTCCCCTTAAACTGAAGACTTTTTTTCCTCGTCCTAGAAAGGGTATTTAGGAGGAGATTCATAGTCTGAGATGTCATCATCAGACCCAGAACCCGAGGACATAGGATCGAAATCCTCTGGGGCAAGCACTGCCTCATCCTCCAGATCTCCTTGAGGTGCTTGCATAAGTTCCAGACGTTCCTTGCAGACCATCAAACCAAGTGAGGCTTTGCTCAGACCATCTTGATCCGACCCAATAGTTTTGATTCTCAAAACTTCAGCATCAATGGCGGAAACAACAACCCTGATTAACGCTGGAACCAGCGTTGGAGCCAGGTCAGGGGATGTTTCTTCAAAGCAAGCAGATAAGCTACCAGCTCCTCCCCCTGAGCCAGTGACAAGCTTACGACGGCCAACACCAGCATCCAGGCGAATAAGAATGTGATTCTGGCACAAATCCTCGAGCACATTGCTTATGATGACCTTGTCACGCAGATCGAAGTGCAACCGATACAAAAGACGGGTGATGAGAGGTCCAAAAGGAAGATTCCCACTATAGTTACCATCTCCAAAGCGCAGCATGTGCCTAAAGACGAGGGATGCGAAATTGATGGGTTGTCAAGCTCGTGCGTGAGACATGATCCATAGATCTGTGGGGTGGAGCACATCCGAGCTCCATAAGTCACGTGGAAGCCAGCATCGAGTGCTAAACCAATGAAACACCTTCAAATCATCTGGGAGCCGACCGGCGGCCAGATGATTAGGAAAGTATCGTCCGGTATCTTCAGTAAGTTGGGACAGCGATGCTAAAAAGTCGAATCCCAGGTCGTGAAACTCCCCATCAAAACTCGCTTGAAGTCCGGAGTGAGTGAGCGAGAGAACGGATGCAAGAAGATCAGGGGTCACCCTGATTGTGTGATTGTAAACCACAGTCGTGAAGAATGAGGGTTCAGGCCCAGGCCCCCTCTTGATGCTCACGTAGAACATCCTTACTGCTTCAGGACAGAAACTGAAACGTTGGTCTTCCACCAAGGAGTTCCAGCCAATGCCAGTCAACAAGGAAGGAAGATTCATTCCATATTTGTTGAAGGCTGAGGGCTGAATGGTAAAGGATGGATGGATGGGACGATCACGAAAGCGTCACAAGTATCTAGCATACTCGCGACCAGTCCGAAACCCCTGATTGTTGAACTCAACTGCAGGACGCAGTTGCGGATTGGTTATCACCATGATTGGAATTTCTAAGGAACTGAAGAATGATGGCAACAAGAGAAGAAAGTTTGATAGAAGGTGAGGAAGAGATGTCAACAGTCTGCCTTTTAAACTGATGGGCATAGGACAATATGGAAGGAGTGAGAGCAGAACCCTAATTGATCGAAATTAACCTTGAGAAATGAGGAAAGGTGTCATAACTGCTAGTTAATTTTAGAAGCTGGAGATGTCATCAAGATTGAAAAGCCCTATTTCTCTCCGGATTGGAAGGAATTTATCACTGCCAAGCGGTTTAGTGAAGATGTCAGCCCACTGCATATCAGTCCCTATAAATTCCAGCTGGACCTTCCCTTCATGAACTAGATCCCTAATAAATTGATACTTAATCTCAATATGTTTGGTGCATGAGTGTTGAATGGGATTTTTCGACATGTTGATAGCACTCGTGTTATCGCACAAAACTGTAATAGAATTAAGACGAAGACCATAGTCTATGAGTTGAGATTTGAGCCACATGGCTTGGGAACAACATAGGCCAGCAGCCACGTATTATGCCTCAGCAGTAGAAAGTGCTACTGAGTTTTGTTTCTTGCTAGACCAAGAAACCAAGGAAGTGGCACGTACCAGACGTGCTTTTTCGATCAACAATGCATCCTGCAAAGTCTGCATCGCTATAACCTACTAACTCCAGGCTAGAATCCTTGGAGTACCACAACCCTAAGGACTCAGTTCCCGAAAGGTATCTAAAGATTCTCTTTACAACCGATAGATGGCTGGCTCTAGGGGAACTCTGGAATCAAGCACACACAAAGACACTGTAGAGAATATCTGGACGACCAGCCGTCAGATAAAGCAGGGATCCTATCATCCCACGATACATTCAATCATTTATCCTGATTCCAGACTCATCCTTAGTTAGTTTTACAAAAAAACCCCATGGGAGTAACAGCAGTTTTTAAGTTACCCAAATCAAACCTCTTTAGCATGTTATTCAAATACTTGGTTTGACTGATAAAAATACCTTTTGAAGTTTGTTTACCTGCAAACCTAGAAAGTAACTAAGTTCACCCATCATGCTCATTTAAAAAGTGTTTTTCATTATATTTTCAAAGGCTTTGCACAACTCAATACTGGATGAACCAAAGATAATGTCATCAACATAAACCTGTACTAGAATGGTGTGTTCTCCTTCTGTTTTAATAAACAATGTCTTGTCTACAGACCCTCTATGAAATGCATCATCAATTAGAAAGGAACTAAGTTTATCGTACCAGGCCCTAGGTGCTTATTTAAGACCATATAAGGGTTTGTTCAGTTTATATACCTGGTCTGGAAACTGATGATTTTCAAAACCAGGAGGCTGAGTGACATACACCTCCTCCTTTAAATCCCCATTTAAAAAGGCGCTTTTTACGTCCATTTGAAATAATTTAAAACCTTTAGAAGCTGCATACGCACAAAGCAGACTTACAACTTCTAATCTAGCTACCAGAGCAAACATTTCATCGAAATCTATACCCTCTTCTTGACAATAACCCTAAACCGCTAACCTGGATTTATTCCGAGTTACATTACCAATTCCATCTGACTTATTTTTATAAACCCATTTAGTTCCCAAAGTAATTTTTTCCACAGGTTTAGGAACTAAGTCCCATACCTTAATTCTTTCAAAGTGCCCTATTTCATCTTGCATAGACGCGTTCCAAAATTCATCAAGCAATGCTTCATCAATGTTTTTAGGCACGACTAGAGACACAAAATCAGTATGAGCAGATACAGCTTGAGATCTAGTGGTCATACCTTGGTTTAAGTTTCCAATCACTTGAGAAACTGGATGGTGCTTTTGTATGTGAGGTGGAGCCTGCAGCTCTTTAGTCTTGTCCCCTGTATCGTTAGTTGACTCATTTTTTTTCCACACGTTCCATTTTCGTCTTGTCCTGAACTGTGGAAATCGAGCTGCCAAGTCCCAGGTCATCTTCGTCATCTATGGTAGCTGTACTCACACTCATAGACTCATCAAACACCACATTAATGGACTCCTCAACTTTGAGGGTCCGTTGATTAAAGATCCTATATGCTCTTCTCTGATTTGAGTAACCTAAAAATATCGACTCATCCGACTTAGAGTCGAACTTCCCTAACTTATCTTTTGTATTTAAGGTGAAACACTTGCATCCAAATGGATGAAAGTAACTTAAATTGGGTTTTCTTCCTTTCCAAAGTTCATAGGGAGCCTTGTTTAATATAGATCTAATTAATGCTCTGTTTACAACATAGCAAGCAGTGTTAATAGCTTCCGCCCATAATTTTTTAGGAACACCATAATCATTTAACATAGTTCTGGCAATATCTATCAAAGTCCTATTCTTTCTTTCCACAACTCTGTTTTGCTGAGGAGTCCTAGGAGCAGAAAAGTTGTGAGAAATGCCCGAGTCATTACAGAAGTTTTCAAATTCATCAGACACAAACTCACCCCCATGATCACTCCTAATAGAAACCACCCTAGTTTGTTTTTCATTTTCCAGTCCCTTAATTAGCGGTTTAAGATTCTGAAATGCATCACTCTTATTAGACAGAAAAAGTACCCAAGTGAATCTTGAATAGTCATCTACGAATACGAATGCATAAAACTTCCCACCAAGGCTTTTTACATTGCTTGGTCCGAACAGATCCAAATGAAGAAGTTCCAGAACTTTAGACGTTGAAATGGTTTGTTTACTTTTGAAAGTACTTCTGACTTGTTTTCTCTTAGCACATGCTTCACAGAAGAATTCTTTCTTACAATGAATTCTGGGAATTCCTATTACTAGATCCAGACTTACTAACTTCGAGAGAGTTCCAACTCCTACATGACCTAACCTCCTATGCCACTCTAACTGATCATTCTTCTCAATTGACACAAGATAGGTTTCATTAAACTTACTTTTATCATTTAAATCTATGCAAAAACAGGTTTCCTTTCCTTTTTTCTGTGAAAAGCACTTGATTAGTTAGTATGTTTTCAACATAGGAACGATCGGGTTCAAAAACCACTCTATTAGAATCTCCACACATTTGACCGATTGAAAACAGATTGTGCTTTAGACCTTTAACTAGCATGACATTTTTAATTGAGGGATTCGATCCTACTTGACCTTTACCTAGAATGTCAGTGCTATAATTATCACCAAAATAAACTTTACCCTTTTTAATTTTGTGAAGATTCGTCAAGCGATTTTCATTTCCTGTCATGTGGTGTGAGCAATCGCTATCAAGAATCCATTCACTGTCTTCCATGCCCACTTGGAGACAGGCCTGATTGAAGAAACAACTAATTCAGTTTGGGTATCCAAACAAGTTTGGACAGTCCCAGTTTAACCTTAGTTGAGGACAATTTCTTTTTATGTGTCCTTTGTGACACGAAAAACAGGTCTGTGTTTTCATTCTTTCTTCTTTTGCAATTCTTCTTTTACAGTTAGCTATATAATGCCCTTTTTTATGACAGTAGAAACATTCAACTGTGTTTCTGACTTCAAATTTTCTCAGCCTCACATTTTGACATGAGGTATCATCATGCTGACATTGTTTTCTACCTTTTGTTTCACCTATCTTGATTTCTAGTATTTCACAAAGTTTTTTACTTCTAACTTTAGATCATTAACCAATTTGTCATCTAGCAGCTTTTGATAGTTTTCCTGTAGTTCTAGATGATCTCTTTTTAACTTGCTATATCTACTTTTGACATTCTCAAATTCAAGTTGAATTTCTCTAATTGTTTCTATCATCTTATCATTTTCGCTATAATAGTCAGAATAGTAGTTAGAAGATGTTACCTTAACCACGTCACTTTCATCCTCACTGTTGTCAATTGCCCTGTACGCCTCTTGCTTATAGTTTGTATCTGACTCATCTTCTTCTTCTTCACTACAGCTCCAGGTGGCTGCATATTCTCGTTCTTTCTTCAGTTGTGGACAATCCGCCTTTATGTGCCCAACTCAGCCGCATTTGAAACACCCTCCCTGAGTAGCTGTTCTTTCAACATTGTTTTTCCTTCCGTTCATTTTTGATACTCTTGCTTGGTCTTTCTCACCATCTCCATCTTTTGATTTGTTGACCAGTGCCCCTCTCCTTCTTTCCTTTCTCAACCTGAGTAGCTCTGCCACATGTTTGCTGAGTAATGCTAGCTCTTCGTCTTCCAGCTCATCAAATGTATCAAGTTCATCATCGTGTGAAATTGCTTTGAAGGAAATTCCTTTCCTTTCCCTTTGTGAATCTTCTCCTTCTTCTCTTCTGAGTTTCTCCTCGTGAGTTACCAACGATCCCATCAGCTCATCGAGACTTAGCTTGGTTAAGTCCTTCGATTCTCCAATGGTTGTAACCTTCGGATTCCATCTTTTAGGTAATGCCCAGAGAATCTTTCTCACCAAATCGGCACTGGGATAGTCAACTTCCAGATTTCTGAGGCTGTTGACTATGTTCGTGAACCTATCATTCATTTCCTTGATTGTTTCATTTGGCTTCATGATGAACGACTCGAACTCTTGCTTGAGGCTATTTATTCTGGAAATTTTGACGTGGGAAGTACCATCGCGAGCGATCTGCTGTTTGTCCTAGATCTCCTTGGCTATCTTGCAACCAGTCACTCAATGGTACTCATCGGGTCCCAAGGCACAGTACATCAGATTGGTCGCCTTGGGATTGAGTTGAAAATTATTCTTGTCTTGTTCCGACCACTTTCCCCGAGTCTGGGGGGACGCGTCTGCGAGAAGCCATCCTCCATGTAGATACCATTTTCATTGCCTGCGTTGGAACTCATTCTCGTCGGAGGTTGTTAGACCCTGATAACCGGCGACCGGGCTTTGATACCAGTTGTTGGGTGATCG